CAACTGCATAAGGTCATATGAGCGCCATAAGATTAGAGGTGTTACAAGATAGTCACAAACATAAAAAAAGAAGGAGGGGAGAAATAAGGACGATAGACGTTTGATAGGAAAGAAGAAGCAAACCACACATGCATCATCACATCAATATTGAAACATACATGTGAAGCGTGCCGACAAAATGAGTTACTTCTCGGATTTAAGCCCGATGGAAATAGATCCATCACGCTTATAGGTCAAGTTTTTACAATTTTTAAGTTTAGCATGAAATAACGAAAGGTATGTTATCGTTGAAGAATATTGCATTAATAGAAAATCTACAAATTTGACCCAAGTGTCCATTTTTGGCCAATATCTCCATTTGTGGACTGCAAGAAGTAACTTATTTTTTCAGCACGCCTCACACATTGTCTTTTTCTAAAAATTTAACATGAGTTTTACAGTACTTGCAACACAATTAAGTCATGTAAGCGCCGAATTTAAATGAGGAATCCACGAGGAAAACGGGCTTTGTCACAAACTGGAAATTGTGAGGGTGTCAATTCTAAAAGCTTGTGGACTCATAACTTCATATTTGTTTGACTGGTGGTTTATTGATAAGTGTTGTTGAATTAACAACAATAATCAACCAACAGTTGAACAGAAATACGGTTATGAGTTATGAGTCAACAAGCATTCAAAATGGATACCAATCACAATTTTCAGGTTTTGACTCTTCCCGTTTTTCATATGGACTTCTCATATGTAAAATTATAAAGCAAAAATTCAGTGAACAGCTAGCTCTCACAATACCAACGAAATTTTAGGAGGTACGATGTGGTATAGCAAGGGTTCTTCAATACCTTTCTAAATACTGCAAAGCTTTTTCAAAAAATTCTCTGATTTAGGCATCCATCTAAGATAAGGACGACAGATGTTTGATAGGAAAGAAGGAGCAAACCACACCGGAGCACCCGCCCACCACCACCCCCTATGACGAACACGACGTACCTTCTGATGCGGGCCCTCCGTGTGATACAGGACGTAGGCGATGGTGAGCAGAACCAGGGTGAGGACCACTGTGAGCTTCTTCTGGTACAACCTGGCGGGGACACAGGGGCATTTCAGTCATCATGTATGTTTGTTTGTTTGTTTGTTTGGTCAGAGTTTTTTTACGGCATGTGCAAGAGAACAATAAATAAGAATAAGGTCATGTAAGTGTCGAAGATTAGAGGTGTTACAAGAGCAAACACAAAAAAAGAAGGAGAGATGAGGACAACAGCTGCTTTAGTTTAGTTTTAGTAAGAGTTTTACGGCACTTGCAACACAATACTAAATAGGGTCATATAAGTGCCGAAGAATAGATTACGTGTTACAAGAGAGTAACATACACAAAAAAGGAGGGAAGATCAAGACGATAGGTGTTTGACAGGAAAGAAGAAGCAAAAGACACCATCAAAGCAGCCGCCAACCTCCCACCTGGTGATCATGTTGTATCCCAGCACGAAGGACTCGGAGACAAAGTACTGCAGCGTGAGCAGCGGCCGCCGCCAGAGAACGATCTTCTCCCGCTCCCTCCGCTCCTGGTCCAGCGTGTCCGTCATCTTGTGGAAGTTGACCTCTGACGGCGAGGTGTGGAGGCCGTTGGTGCTCTTGCTGCCGCTGCCGCCGGTGTTACCGCTGCTGCTGCCGCTACCGCCGCGCTGCCGAACGTTGCCGCTGTCAGAGGTACTGGTGCGGGCCATGACTACCCCAGACGAGGCACTGGGACTGTGCTGCTGCGGTTGTTGTTGATGGTGTTGTTGTTGTTGTTGTTGTTGTTGTTGGTGGTGGTGATGGAGGAGGAGGTGGAGATGCTGCTCCTCCTGGTGGCTGTGGTGACTATGTATTCGACTTATCTGACGGAACAAAGCATTAGATTCATACATTTTGTGCTACTTTTGTTGTTTTTTTAAGCCTCGACAACAAAATGAGAACACAACATACATGAATTAAATCTCTTATTTTAAAGTTTTAGTAGAGGTATTTCGGCGCTTGCAACTGCATATATGGTCATATGAGCACCAGAAGATTAGAGACAAGAAAGAATGGGGAGGAGATAATGACGATAGACGTTTGACAGGAAAGAAGAAGGAAACCATACCAGAGCACCCGTCAACCACCCACAACTGGACTCAGCCAAATCATTAAGTAACTCTATGTAACACACTGCAAACTAGGCTACAAACGAGGTATTTGAAAACTAACCAGTACTTGGGAAAATAAACGTGTACATGATGAAAGACAATGAAATGAATATATATACAGAGACTCTACCACTGTTACATCAAAAGACTGACAGTGGGGGGAAGGGGGCCATATGGTTAACTAGGACAGTGGGGGGAAGGGGGCCATATGGTTAACTAGAACAGTGGGGGGAAGGGGGCCATATGGTTAACTAGAACAGTGGGGGGAAGGGGGCCATATGGTTAACTAGGACAGTGGTCTTCCACTCACTGCACACACTTTTCAGATGACAAGAAAAACATGCTCATATATATACATATACGCAAATTTTGAAGGGGCGTAATCTAGGTAAGTATTCTGAGAATTTATTTCTGTCGAATTTTTATGGCCTATGTGTGTGTTTCCGTGCCAAGTTAATGTGCAAGAAGGACTTTAACACTTTACCATCACAAGGCTTATATATATAGTAAAAGAAACTGAGTGATAGATATCACCAATTGGCGAGATGAGGCGGAAAAGTGTTAAGGACTGTTATAATAAAATTATGATGTAGCGTGGTGAAATTTGTCTGTTTGAAGTCTACCTATAGCTTGTAATGACTCTACAAGCTGTGCACATTTATTTATGCCAAATGCCCAAAAACTGGGAGAGTGGAAGAAAAAAAACTACCTCTTCGGTAGACATGACAACAATGTAAGAGATTCATGAAGCGAGCACTTAAGTTGTTATAAAAGTTAAGCTCACACAATCACACACACAAATTTTTTGTGGACACAAGAAATAATGGTAAGTAAGTAAAAGTAAAAAGCAGACAGGCGTTGTGTCAAAAACATGGTGGTAAACTTTAAGCGCACAGAGCATGATTGCACATGTGGATATGCGCTTTTTAAATGCAATCCATTATTATCATTATTATTATTATTATTATTAGGTAATGACTCATTCTCCTTATTATTATTATTATCAGCCACACACTGTAAAAATTGAAAGCTATTATTATTATCCAGCTGATCATGCACTTCACCGTTTCCACTCGTTCCTATCCATAATCCATATGATGTTGGACTGAGTAAAATAAAATCCGATTATTAAATATTTCCAGATAAACAGACTGTGAAAAAACGCCAACATCAAAGTAATACTGTGACAGTAGTATGAATCCTTTTACACAAATTGTCGCCTCGGAACTATTTTGTCCAAAGTGTACTTACTTAATAAAAATTTATAAAAGAGTTACTTTGGACTTTGGACAAAATAGTTCTTGTTCTGAGGCGACGAAATCCCCACACCCAAATTAATAATCTCTTTCCACCTGAAAACATTAACACGACACATTTGCAAACAAACAAACTTTATGTGATATAGATTCTTTTTGTCTCAAATACTCCCCCACCCCCCCTCCCACCCCATAACACTCTGTACGTATGCAAACAATGAACACAAATAAACAATGCAAATAAGTTTCCAACACGACAAAAGTGAGATTCAAACCTGTTTCAGTCAAACAAACAGGCAACTGGGAAGCCAAGTGAAAGGGTACAACGCCAATGCACAGGAAAAATGATGACAACATCCACCAAAATCAAAAGTGCTGCAAATACAAAAAAAAACCAAAAAAAAGAACAGGAAAAATCAATTTTTTTGCTAAATAAATTATAACAAACTATTTTTCTAGAATGAATTCTACAACTATACTATTGTTGAAATAATTTACTACACTCTAACACCTGGGGCTTCATAACAGAAGATGCAGAATCATTGGTGTGACCACAAGGTCATTGTGTGTAATATCATTGGCCGCATCTATTCAGACTCCAGTCTGAATAGCCCCCCGTGGCTATTCGGACTGAAACTCCAATGTGCGTGCGTAATCACTGCTGGGTGTATGTGTAGGCTACTAGATGTGGAGCATACAGGCAAATCGACCTTGGCCTTCCTCGGTTTTTACGATCAGGCCAAAACGTCACAAATTAAGAAAAGTGTAACTTTGTGACGTCAAAAGTGAACAGTTGCAAAATCTGAAACACTACACAACAAAGGCAAACAGGGAAACGGCAATCTGAGCTGAAAGCAGTGAAGAAATTGAAAATCACAGTTTTAGAACAGCAAAGGAGGCAGCCTAACCCGCTTTATTTGAAGAGACAGACAAAATCACTGATCAATTAGAAATAAAGTGAGAAATTAAGAAGAGAAAAGTTAAAACCCTTCGAAAGGGAAGAAAAGTCAGTGATTCAGAGTAACGCGCATTGGACCATGATTGGAGTTTGAGTCCGAATAGCTACGGGAGGCTATATTTCCGACTCGAGTCTATACTTATCTAGACCTGAGTTCGTTTTACTTTCCTTTTGACCCACTATATTCCCCAGAACATGAGAAAACTAATAACAATTGACAAAGAAGTGATGAATCAAGTGGAAAATTTTAAAATGTTCAATCTCTATATTTTCAGAAAATACACATTATAATATCGTTTGGGAAAGCAAGGTCTCCATAGCACATTATCATCTTTCACAACAAGTATTAAAATGGTTTTGGTTTTTTTCCACTAAATTTAGCTTAGGATTACTTTTTCAATGAATTATTAAATTCATATACACAATATTAATGACTATGCACTATGGAAGCAGTTTTGAAATCAAACTAGATCCAGATCCAGCTCAAAATTGACCCGACTCAACTATTTTGAGCACTGGCAGCACATTACAAGGATCTGCAATGGCAAATATGTTACACTATTTTTATGTAAATTCAGGTCACAAATAGTGTGGTAGGCATAAACACAGCTCTACGACTACGAGAGTGAAAAGCACAAATGTACCTAGAGGAGAGGTGATAACGGAAAGTAAATCAGAGACAAGTGCCCCCAAGCTCCAACATGCCATTATAATAGATTTAAAGAGAAACTATTGCAAACATGAACTTGGGTTAAACACTTTTCCTTCATAAACTGAAATAAACATGTTCATCTAAATCTGACACACTCATTACAACAGTAACAGTTCATACAGTACAGAGTAGAGCTGACACTGACTGACTATGAACATGTAAAAGACTAAGTAAAATTAAAAGCAACTCACATTTTTCTATACATCAACTACTTAGAATATTAAAAATAAAAACTCCAAACAATCGAATCATTTTTTACATTATCTGGAGTCGACTCCCATTTAATCATTTGACGCTATTAGAAGTCTGAGATTACATCCGACCTAGTCATGACAAAGTGAAAGTCCCCAGACCCTTTAACTTCTAAATGGCTGCTAATTAGAATGAAACCATTAGGCAAATACTAAACGAAGTGATTATTTCTCCGAACGCTCGAAAAAATAAACTGACCTCTAGATCTATTTCTCCGAACGGTTTCCGTTCTAGAGATTTTTTGGTCATTTTTTTGCGAGAGTTCGGCGTCATCTATCAATCTGCCATTTTGTGAGGACTGGGAAGAAGCAGTTTCTGCATCGAATTCAATTTCTAGAGCTAGCATGGGTCTCAACTCAGAATTCTAAAAAAGGAGGAACTTTCCGGGTGATCGCCACAGAAGCCCATTTTCGCGAAACACCCATTATTATTATACTGTTGAACCCTAGAATGCAGAAATAAATACCATCAATTTATCAAAGTAAGGCAAGGTTATTGCGCACAAATTTGAGGGTTTGTGAGATAATTTCAAGTAAGTAAGAGTCACGTACCAAATATTTACAATCTTGATTACGAACAGAAAGTGGTGGCGCCTGGGGTCTTGTGCGACTGATTTTTTTCCCTTCATCATATTCGTCTGTATATATAAACTTTATAAAAATGAATCTTGTTTTGATCCTAGAACCAGAATATCGACAGTCATGATTCATACTAGCTGGGCCCCCTTTCGATGAAAGGGATGATCGGTGCATTAACGTCAACTGAAAGTCATTGGCCTACTATATTTACACTCTACTGGAATGGGGCAATAAATCTTGAGAGATGCAAAAAATTGGAAGGTTTAGATCTATACTCTCAAAACAAAATGCGCCTCGCGAAATATCACTTCCGGATTTTCTCAAATTACAGAGACGAAGCGTCGGCCTACAAAAGCGATCGGCGAAATAAAGAAATTTAGCTTTTTGCAGCAAAACTGTCTCAAAACTGAAAAAACCAAGGGCGCCACGATCTGGAGAATATTTTAAAGAATTTTTTGGCGAAAACTGCATGTCGATCCGCGCAGCCATTAAAAAGCCTTTTGAATAGCAAAATTCGGCCACCACAAATAGATAATAGATATATAGGCGTAATAAACGTGAAAGACAAAAATTAAAGCTCAAACTCAAAGTAGAGTAGAACAGCCCAAGTAGTCCTATTCAGTGTGAGAGGTGTGTGTAAGAACTGTGGGAGGGCAAGATGCAGTGATACTGAAAATCTGCGAATCTTGAACAGAAAGCTTAAATATAGAGATCTAATTTACTGTCACCAATCCAATGTATGTGAACACCTAGGCCTCTAAGTTCAATAACACGCTTACAAGTTATGACGGTTCCCGATTTCACACAAGGCCTACACCAACGCACACTTTACTTTGCAGAGAGCTGTAGTAGATTTCTAGTAACCAAAATTCTAAACATTAAACATTTGCTTCCAGTTTCAATTTCTTTGTCCTCCGGTGTTGCCTTCAGCACTCCCCCTGTCCGCGAGTGTGTCTTTTATAAAAATCAATAATCTCCCCCCTATTCCTGAGTCCCATACTTCACAGCCCTCAGAACGCGCGCAGTTTCATTGACCGGTCACAATGGCAAGCCCGACAAGACGCTTTTGTATAACTTTCTTTCCTTTTTTTTATTTTGTTGCCCCCACAAGTGACAGCACAGTGACAAACATTGATTTATTTTCATGGCAACACCACGTTGTTAATGCCGAACCTGCATGTTACAATAAATGTTGCGTTATCCTGCTAATCTTCAATTTTACCTTTTTCTACAACAAAGAAAGTGGGAAACATGGGGGGTGGGGGGCCATATCAAGAGGCGGCGGGTATTAGATCGGCAGATAAGGGGTGGGGGAAACTAAAAAATGGCGGAAAATTGGAAGCACTGAACGTTAGATCTATAGAACAAAGACACTTCCTTTTTTCCGGACCCGGAAAAAATGTCATTCGGACTCGAGTCCGAATAAAGACGGCCTTGAAGTAACCTATTTTTTTGCATTTACTCACCTCTTAAGCAACACTAAAAAAAATCCCTCCCCACCCCACGCCTCTTTACACCTCAGGCCTTAGGCCTAGGCGCCTATATACATACACACATTACACACACACAAACTCACACGCACATACACTCACACATGATGCGGGCCACGTCATTCACAAATAACCAAAAAATCTCAACGTTCAGAGAAACAGAGTTCAAGTTTATTTTCCCGAGTGTTCAAAGAAATAAAGCCAGCTTTTAAATCTAGATCTAGATCTTAACAACACTATTTAAAGAGCCCAAATATTAAAAATTAGGGAGTGTATACGGACCCGGTAACCGGGAACAAAGTCACAAAGTATACAGACCCGGTAGGGGAACTCTTTTGTGATTTCGGAGAGTTTCAGCGCCCTCTTGGCTCAGGCACTCAGGGTAGACCTAGGTTCTTCTGAATCTATGGCATGGTCTAGATCTAGATCTAAGTCTAAGCAGACAGACATAAATCTTTCCTCTAGTTTCGCGGCTAACCTAGATCTAAATGAAGATTGCAGATGTCTTTTCGATTAACGATGGTTTTTCCTCCGTTTTGGAGTTGGGGGAATCACAATTTGAAGAAAAGAACAAGTTACAATGTCATAATTTCAATCGAGCAGTCCCCCCCCCCCTCTCTCTCTCTCTCTCTCTCCTCTGTGTACCGCTCGCCTTCTCTTTTTCTTTGTTTGTCTCTGTATTTCTTTGTCCCCACCTATTTCCCACTCTATCTTTCTCTCGTTCCCTCCTGCCAACTGGGGCATGTCATTTACATTTTGCTAGCACCCCCCCCCCCCCTCTCTCTTTTTTTTTTTCTCTCTCTCACACACACACACAAAAGATTTCTACCGGGTCCACAGAATTCTACACTTAGAAGTAGAATTCTGTGACTGGGTCTGAGGTCTGAAACTTCCCGAAATCACAAAAGAGTTCCCCTACCGGGTCTGTATACTTCGTGACTTTGTTCCCGGTTACCGGGTCTGTAGATCTAGAATCTAGATCTATACACTTCGTAAAAATTAAAACAAAATTTTGACAAAAGGCGTTACAAGTTACACAACAAGTGACAAAGCACAGGCTTTCAGAAAAGGCCCCTAACCAATTCACGTAGACCTAGGCCTACACCTAAGGTTAGAGTTCACTTTTCATTCCACACACGGACTTTAAAATGTAAAAATGGTCTTTGGTCTCATTTTTCGCATCACCCGTCATCACTCATCATGCCATCTTACCAGGATAGACTTTCTGCCTTTTGTTGTTCGTCCGTAAGATCGCAGAATATGTTTCAGTTCCGTGACTGATAAGTTTTCGAGGTTATTGACGTGGTTCTTGTCGTGTTTATCAGAAGGCATTGTCCAAAGGCAAATTATTAACTCTGTTCTCTCTGAAAATAGGTCACAGAGATAAAAACATCGTGCTTACTTCACACTGACTTCGCGTGTACACAACGCCGTCAACGCTGTCGGTTGCTAAAACTAGACGTGTGAAACGCAAGCGGACCGGAAGGAACACACTGTGTCACATCATGTGCATGTAAAGACATACACGTTAGTTTTCCCAGTTCTTTAATCCATCTACTTAGATCCGCTCAAAACACTGAAAGAAGTCTTCGTTTTGCTAGTAACAAAATACTTCGATTAAATGAACCAAGCATAGTCAATGAAATAATGTTTAAAGTGCAACTTAGATTCGAAACTTCGAACAGGTTGTATTTTTTAAAGGTCAAAGGTGATCCCTAAACGTAAACAATCGTGCAAACTGTCGCACGTGCGCAGGGGAAGGAAAAGAAGAAAAATATCAATAGAATAGGCCTACGTTTTGTTTGTGGTGTGGCTTGTGCAAGGAGATTAAAAGCTCCTTGGACTTGTGGCACAGAGCACAGGTGCACAAATGAATTGTGTGCAACATTGAGTAAGGTTGCGTCTATATCCTTTGAGCTACGGGCTCGCTTGTTTGAAAATAGGATAAACCGAAGATACAAACAAAAAGAAGAAAGGAGCTTAAGTATTGCATGTCAACTGGCTGAATGTGTGTGTGTGTGTGTGACCAAAAGGCTTTTTGACATTTCCCACTAAGTTTCTCTCTCTCTCTCTCTCTCTCTCTCTCTCTCTCTTTTTTTCTTACTCTTTCTTTTTTTTTCTCTCTTTCTCCCTCTCTCTCTGCTTCTTTTCTCTCTCACACACTCTCCCCCCATCTCTCTCTTACTCTCTCTCTCTCTCTCTCTCTCTTTCTCTCTCTCTCTCTCTTTCTCCCCCTCTCCTCCCCTCTCTCTCCTCTTCCTCCTCCCCCCCTCCTCCTCATTCCTCCTTTGTCCGGTAGAAACAGATTTCTTTGAGCTTAATTAATGATGCTTTACGGATGAGGCAAGGGTCAACCTCCGATAATGCAATACTCTGGCTACGATGCCCTGTACTCTCTCTAGAGAAAATGTACTTTTCGGCTCGGTTCAGCTTGGTTTGGCTTTGCTCCCTTGTGAGTCCTGAGAATCTCCATCTCGTGCAGTTTCTTCGGTCAATTAAAAACTGGTGGTGGTGGTGGTAGTGGTAGAGGTTATGGTAGTGGTAGTGGTAGTGGTGGTGGTGGTAGTGGTAGTGGTAGTGGTAGTGGTAGTAGTAGTAGTAGTAGTAGTAGTAGTAGTAGTAGTAGTAGTAGTAGTAGTAGTAGTAGTAGTAGTAGTAGTG